TGTTCACGCCGTCGTTTTGACTCGGCTTCAGTTTCACTCCTCGTTCACACCAGCGTCACAGCCGCTCCCCGCTCTCCGCCCGCTGCTCACTGCTGCAGCTTTGTTCCACCTTGACTTCTGGTCAACTGCTGCTAACTGACCACCACCTGACCACAACATCGGCAGGTTCTCTGAGCTGAGTTCTTTACTGGCGTTTCACAAATAAGTAAAGATTATCAACCACAGACTGGTGTGTGTGTGTGTGTTCATGCATGTGTGTGTGTGTGAGATCACATCTTCATCCTAGTCTTTGAAGATAATACCTATTTCAGAGAGTGTATTTCCAATCAGCTCCACATGCCGTCTTGACGTAGCTCTTCTTCCTCCATCTTTCCTCNNCCCTACACGGAGTACAGATCAGTGGTCATGTGACGTGTATTTAAAGGAGTATTATTAGAGTACTAGTATTATCTAATGCAAAAAAGAGGAGCCAAATATGAAATCGTGTTGTACAGTGTCGTACACGGTGGCTTCAGTGTCTGAAGGTCAGGACGGTCTTCAGGTGTTTTGTGCAGTTCTTCACCGTCAGATGCCTTTTAGACGGAGAAGAATGTGTCGTGGAGGTTAACGATATCTCCATGTGAAACAGAATGTTTGGACATAAAGACACATCAAACTATTTTTCTGGATCCATGTCTGTTAGCTACAGCCAAGGCGACGGGCTTCGTCCACTCAGTGTAACCTAAAGTCCTTGGTTTTCCCTTTAACTGACGGCATGTGTCGAGAGTCGGTGAAGTTATACGTCTGTTTGGAGCCGAGAAAAAGTTGAAATAACAAGGCAGCTCTGAAGTACGCAGCCAAGTTTCACTAGTAAACTGAAGACTTGTGTAATTACAACAGATGTACGACAGGACTGAGAAACCGCTCGGCTTCGTAACCCCACGGTTGGAGCTCCCGCAGAGGTTTGTCCTCCTCTGGCGTTGGGGTTTACCCTCTCATCACTGGACCAGGTCACGGAGTCACTGTTAGAATCAATCCAGAAGAACAGACCTGTACTGAACAGACCAAGTGTTGCTGTAAAATAGTTTTACTTTCTACAGCTGGATGAATGAAGCCAGGGGTTCAGTCATAAAAACATGGGGCGAGGGCAAGTGAGTGTGCGTCAGGAAAATCGCACAGTCTCTGTGATTTTTTTTAATACCTATTTTTTTGTTGCTGCAAATCAAATACATTTTTATATCTTGTGTTTTAACCTCTTTGATTGTTTCTTGGTCATACCTTCTGTATGAGGCGATTTTCAATACAGGTTGGTGTTCTTGTTCAAATCAGGCGTCAATGGCTTTGCGTGTGTGTGTGTGTGTGTGTGTGTGTGACTCTTTGATTATGGGTCAGGGGAGGTCACAGAAGCCCACGGTGCCTCCGTCAGCCTCAGACCTCTCAGGTTTCAGAGCAGAACATTCCTCCCTTGGCTGCTCCATAGCTGTGAAAACCGCAAAGCTGCTCCATCAACAAACACTCCAGGCACTGGGGCATAGACGGCTAACCTGTGGCTAATCAGCGACAGGAGTTTTCTTTCTCTTCTAGAATTTGTTCCCTGTTTTTCCCATAATTGCTGGCAGAGTGGAGACCAAGCTTTTCTCCATTTCACTTCATTTCATTGTTGAGTTGAGTTTTTTTTTTTCCCCTGCGCCTGCCTCTCTTCCCTCTGTTTTGGTTAGTGTTTTCAGAGCACATGATTGGTGCTCGGGGGTGGCAGCTCTGTTTGTGTGTGTTTGTTCATGTTTATTTGACAGTTCCACAGTTTGGACCAGCTGTTTTTACATCAAGGAGGGGAGTGGAAGAGTAGAGTGCCGAGGCGCAGCTTTGCACTTTGCAAACAACTCAGCAGTGAAATGTGTGACTCTGCGTGAGACCATGACATTAGAGAATAGTTTGTACAACACTCCTCTGTCGTGAAGAGCGTGACTGCCTGACTCCATTCAGACAGTTTGGCTTCTAATTTTGTCTTTAGTTCAAGTTTTATTGGGGACACTTAACCATTCTGAGAAGGCTTGTATAATTGTCCACATCTTGTTATTGCCATTGTTGTATCTGGGTGTTTTCTTGTAAGTTTCCTTCAGAAACAATATTAATCACTTTATTCCGATGAATCAGACTTTAAGTCTAGACTTTCATCTCACTTGTACTAGATTTTTTTTTTTATATCCCACTAGCAGTGAGGAAAACGTCTCATTTTTATGCAGGCTTTTTTGATCAACTCTTGATCAGCATCATTCTTTTAGTCTTGCGTCTCTTGCGTTACCTGCAGATATATTCAAAAATATATTCAAAGAAGTATAAATGATTTTATTTCAAGAAATCACACATTCTTTCTATGCTTCATTATATAAATCACTGTATTCTTTAATCACTGTATTCTTTCCCCTAATCATATGTTTTGGTAAAACACTTTTTGACCTTTTGAACTTCCCTGGATCAGAGTTTTTGTCACACATTTCGACACATGTTCCCCTTTCTTTTAGCCAAAATGCGGAACTATATTTTTATAGCCTGCTATGATACAGTCGGTTTATGACCTTTGGATACTGAGCTCAACCTTTCTTGACACAGTGTTAGCATGACCTTTTTTTTATTCTGGTTTTTTTTTTCCTGAAAAAATACTCACGAAAAGTGCTCAAAAAACCTGACCGTCCTGACAGGCACATTGTAGACGCTATCTTCTGTTTTTTTTGTGATTAATGGATTAAAAAAAAAACAGTTAATGACTCATTTATATTTCTGCACAAAGCTGAGACTTCCTCTGTTCTCCTGGGTGCCCTTTTTATTCAGCTTCAGGCGACTTTTACCAGTGCATTCTGGGTAGGCTGTAACCTCTGGAATGTGTCATATAAAGGGTGTGGACAGGCAGCAGGAAATCGTGACGCTGTGAACCCTGGCATTTTCAGACTTTGTCGGGGCAGCTTACAGTGAAACACCTGCCGCCTCAAAACAAACATTAGTTTTCCTCTGTTTGCAGCCGCCACACGCTCCTGCTGCAAGTCTGTCTGGAGACGTGTGTGTATATGTGTGTCGCAGAGTGAACATTTAGCTGATGGAACCCCAGGGAGCATTTGCGTAAGTGTGTGTATGCAGCTCATAAAAAACCATAATTGTAGCTGATCTCAGCGTGCTGAGGTCACAGCAGGACTCATTTTCTCTCCCCCAACACCATGAATCACAGAGTATCAATAAAACGCTCCAGTGTGGACGCTGAATGCAGGAAATTTAGTATCACCTTGTGATTTGAGCTCATGCAAAACCATCATTTTGTCCAAACTCCAGACAGGTGACACATTATCTGCCCCAGCCTGGGAATGGAACACACTGATGGAAATGACAGAGTTACACCGTCTGGGTCTGGGGTTTGGGTATTATGGAGGATGACGTCCAGCGTTCTCTGTGGAGCAATAATGGAGCTGCACCTGTCTGTGCAGAGAAATGGACCGGTGCTGTGAAACTGTCCATGAGTGAGGTTAGGAGTTTAGACTGAGTAAAGCAGGGGTGTCGGACTCATTTCCCCCCGGGAAGGGGGGGTGATTGTATAGCCATAACTACACTCCCCCGGGGGGAAACGTATTAATAAATGTATCTGCAATTGATTCCATAACGTAATAATAAATGTATCTGCAATTGATTATTATTGATTGAAAAAAATCACAAAAATTGCATGTAAGCTCAACTGAAAAAATAAAAATACTTTTTGAATTACAACTTAAAAAATAAACTGCGAACCGTTCTTAACTCTTGACGTGGTATGGCAGACCAGTGTTAGCATGACTAGTGTTAGCATGACAGCTAGCATTTTGTCCACACGTTATAATCAAACAGTATCACCATGTGCCGTCATTACCGACATTACAACCACGAGGAAGCATCTGTCGCACCTGTAAACTAGAGACATTGAAAAGCAGGTACAAAATGATCATTACATTTCAGCTTTATTTGTCACTACTAACTTGCTAATAGTTGTCAAACTTTAACTCAACCTTTTCCTTAACTCAGCTTCCACACAAACCTATAATCCACTTGTAACTTTCTAGGCTAAAATTACCAGCGACCTGTCAGCTGTCATATCTGTCTTTAATCTCTCTGCTATTGACACAATTTAGTCTGACTCCGTTTTTAATCTGCCTTAATTTGGCTGTCAGCTTCAATCAATGTCAGCACTACATTTACACCAAGGCTGTAGTTAAACCGCATTCTTGTCACATGTGACAGTAGTGCACCGTCCCGTTTAATCACGTCACACTATTATTGTTTGTGCTGGGAGACTCTGAAAGTTTAAAAATGTGAATGATTGCATCACTTTCTGCATTTTTTTTTCCACCATTAATCACGTCGTTATTTATTTAAAAAACACTTTAAACAGAAAGTGGGCTTGTTAAGGTGATTCACTGCACGTTTGTTCCATAATAGTTCGAACTCCAAGAACTTTCAGCTTTGCCGTCATTACAAGTAACTCTGGGTTTTCTCAACTCATCTGACATCTGGGAGACTTTTTTTTTCATTAGAGTTTGTTATTTCTGTCCATTTTTCCCTCTTGCCAGTTCTTTTCTGCTCTGGTTCATGTGAGAGCTGCAGCAGGTTTAGCCCCGCCCAAATGCTCTCATTAGTTGAGGCCTCAAGCCAGTACGGATCGACTACCTCCCCCCCCCCCCCTTTGATCCTGGCTTTTACTGTGTGTCTATTAAGAGCCAGTAAACACCAGACTTTTCTTTTTTAATTGTTGGCTTATTACATGTAACTGCAAGAACCCTGACCTGTTCCCAGCTCTAGTTGTTATTAATATTACTACAAGAATGTCTTCTTTTTCATTAAGCCTTTTTTCATTGTGAACGTTGTTTTATCAGATCCACCTCTAGTAACAAATTCTGGTGATTTTTGTGTTTTGTTTTTGGGTTTTTTTTCCCCAAATCTTCAACACTCCTCCTCAGCTAACCTGACTGTCTCTGTTCTTTCTCTCCCCGTCTGTCTCTCCACAGAGGATTTTCAGCTCGTTTGTGTACACCGAGAAGACATCAAACGGAGAGACGGAAGTGCAGCAGGTGAGTAACAAAGGCTTCTACTCTGTGTGTGTGTGTGCGTGCGTCATTACTGCTGTGTGTATCATCATCATCCACATACTCACAAACAGTTGTTTTCAAAGGGAAAATCTTCTTTTACCCACATGTGCACTGTTGTTGAACAGCTGCTGCGTCTGAGGCTTTGAACTTCTGTTTTTACACCCGTCCCCACTCTGTCCCTCCCTTTCTATTCAACTCAAATCTGATCTCAGAGCTGCAACAATGCAGTCAGACAAAATAAGAGCGCCCGGAGAACAGAGAATTTTTATTTTTTTTAGGAAACAAACACGTGAGTTCCAGTCTCCCCCAGACTCTCATGTCGTGTGCATCGTTTTGCACATGGAGTGAGAAACCATGTGCACAATTTGTAACATCTGCTGTTCAATCAATAATGATTGTGTTCAGACAGGGCGTGATCGTGTGTCTGTCACGGACAGTTAACATTCAAATAGATACGTAGTCAACAGCAGTAGCAGACGGGGCGGACGTTTTGCACGGCATTCAACTAATGTTGATCATTAAAAATGATAATAATTTGAGTTTTATTGATCCCACTCTGGGGAAACAGCAGATCTATAGCAACAGGCTGCCTCTAGGAGGCGCTATGTATGTGGTTCCTCTGGGGCTTGAACCCAGGACCTTCTGCGTGTAAGGCAGATGTGTAAGCCGGCGTGATAACAGCAACACTATGGAACCATTAAATACTGATGCAACTGATTACTGACTATAACTGATCTATTCAAACAGTGGCCCAGTCCAACTGATCTGTTCAAACAGTGGCCCAGTCAGATTATCTTAGAAAACCTTCATGAATTAAATGTTCTGCTCATAACTAACGTTGTTCATGGTCCTGCTACCTTCATTTCTTAATTTTGAAGTACAACATGAGCCTTTTTAGATAAGTGCTTTGGCTTCAACTACAGTGTCAAAAATCCTCTGGTTATTTAAACTTGATTGACTTTTTCATTTTCATTTTCTTGAACCTGATTTTTTTTTTTTTTTTAAAGTTGGCTCGTTTTTTTTGCTGTTACAATGGCTGTCACTTCAGGGTGGAACAAATGCATGTGAAGAGGTGAAGTTTTGAAGATATTCCCACTGCGGCTGCCAAGAAAAAATCCTTCAGCTCCATTGTTAAGACTTCAGCCGTGTGATATATTACACATTTCTCAGGTCTTGCCATCGTGACAGGACACGACTGATTGTATTTACAGTCAACTTCCATTCAACCTACAGGTGCCAGGTGTTCTGGCATATTTCTGGGTTGTGTGGCTTCACAACGTCATGACGGATTGAAAGGCCAAGAAAAATGTCCACTTCACTCTGAGATAGATGGTAAAATGACTACAGCTCTAACAACCTGCTGTTTTAATCATTAGCTAAAAAAAAATCTCACCGACAGAAACTGTTCTGCTCTGAACTAAATCTCTGCTGAAACCTCATTAATTGCACAAAGTCGGAGGATTTAAATTGCAGTCACACAGATTTGGTGAATTTTTAACGAGGCCTGATCCCAGAGCAGCTCTGACTTTTTATCCTGGCTCTCTGTAGAAAGAGTTTAATTATTCTGTTTCAGGAGCCCGTGCTTTCTGCCGTCGCCCTACTGAGGCAGGCATCACTTAGTTCAGATGACGGCTCTGCCATAGTTGGCCTGCAGTTTCTCTCTCTGGGCACCGGGGCTGTGTCCCTGAGCCAAGGTGAGGCTGATGTAGAAGTGTATCTGCAGAGGAGGAGAGGGCTGGGACAGAAAGAGCAGCAGCCAAGGAGCTACGGCCTGGAGATGAAACTCTCCTCTCCAACTTCATTATTCTGACAGGAAGGCAGACTCCCTGTCCGTGTCTCTGTCTCCTGTCCTCTGTGACTGTCACTTTCCAAATGTCCTCCATACATTTCCTCTCGCCCACCTGCGTCCTGTATCCTCGGGCTTTTACATTTGAAAAAGGAACTTCACTTTGATCGAGTCAAACTCAATAACGTGGAGAATGTGTCACTGCTCAAACAGGCGTCTGTTTGAACAGCACATATTTGACTAAAAGTCAAACACGGTGTTGTGCAACGAGCTGTGTTTGTGCTTGTCCCTCCCCAATTATTACATTAAACTGATTAATTATTAAATTAGTGAACAAGTGTTTGAACCCAGTGACTCAGGTGTTGAAAACAGTGTGTGTTGTCAATGTTTGCTCTCCTTTCAGAAATCACAAATGCAATAAAAACATCAGGGTTCTTTTTTTTGTTTCCTTTTCATCGACCTTTCAGGCGTTAATTCAATAAAAATGAAGGTAGCCTTAAATACACAACCCTTCATCAAGAGTCTGGACTCACATGAGCTCTGGGCCACTGCTTGTCCGTTTGGGCTGGACCAGTAAAATCACAACAGAATTACCTATAAATAACAATTCCATGTTTTCCACTCTGTTTTCATGCAAGGAAGTACAAGGATGTTAGACAAATATTATATATGTGAATATGAATCATTTTAATTAATTATAATGAAATGCTCCATGTTTTCCACTGCTGTTTTCATGCAAAGAAGTACAAGGATGTTAGACAAATGTTATATATGTGAATATAAATCATTTTAATTAATTATAATGAAATGTAATTTTACAAAATATTTCCTGAATATGAAGTGTAGTTACAAAATTTACCAGGTGGGTCGGATTGAAACCCCAAGCGGGCTGGTTTTGGCCCGCGGGCCGTATGTTTGACACCCCTGCTTTAGGATCATCTTCTGCAGTGACCTTTGACATGGAAGCTGCCAAATGGCAGAATAAAATCGCATTATGAATAAAATAGGACAGAGTCAGTGCTGTGTAAACAAACACTGGAAGCGAAAGTGTTTCTTTTTTTTTTAACGGAAATACTCGAAGTCGATAAAGAACTTAATTCATGCAGGTTGAACGGAGGTATGTACTGTCCTGTCAAGTCGCCCGAGTGTCTTAGGTCTGCAGCACAAACTCCTGTCTGTCCAGAACCAAATTAAGGCCCACCATAAACATGGCTGCCAATGAGTGTGGTTTGAAACCCGACGAACGTATCGTAACTCTGGTCGCAGCCGCTCTATTCACTCCAGTTCTGTGGCTCAGCCTACATCACTGAGAGGCTGGACGGGCCAGAGGGGGGAGAGGGGGAGGGGGGGGGTTGGAGAGTGCGGTTAATCTCTACAACACAGGTCGGCGTCGGCTGCGCTGCGGCTGCAGACTGTAAACCCAGCTCTAACGTGCACAGTTTTGGTTCCTGCTCCTTCCTTTTCCCTCCGTCCTCCGTCCTCCGTCCTCAGCCGAACACTGGCACACGCTGCTCTTTATAATCCAAAGTTCATTGAGGCTAATTGCTGAGGGAGGAGCTCTGTGGGGGGAGGTGTTTCGGGGGGTTTACATGTAAGAGAATGCACATGTAAATGTCACTTTGTGTGTGTGACTGTGTGCTCTTTGTGGTGAAGCAGTAATTGCTGGGTGTGCCTCAGGTTCCTGTTAAACCCCTAATAGCAATGTTTGTGCGGTTGATTAGGTGTACGAGTGGTCAGCGGGCTGCGCTGCGTTTCCCCATTCCTGGCTTTGAATTACAGTCTTTTATTGGCTCTTGTAATTATGGTATGGGAACAAAGAGAGTCCAGTTACTTTAAGGCTTCTCTGCACTGAGAGCGGATCAGGAGGAGACTTCAGCTGGATTAGAGTTGTGTCCCTGACGCTGTTCCACTTGTTTGACATTTTGTATTTTTGTTCCAATCTAAGGCGGTGGGAAAATGATCATGCACAACGAGGGAATATATTCTGAATTGATTTAGTTCTAAGAACAGTGTTAAAACTGTCATCTGATCCTGATGTGAGTTTGTTTTCTTCTGTAAAAATTAATTAAAAGCTTGAATTTATTTGGATTATTAATCAGAATAACAATGTTAACCATTTATTGCATAGGCAGAGTAATACACACTTTATATCCAATAATTCACTTTTCTTCTGATCATTGTTGTCCTAGTACACAGTTGCACACACTTAAAAAAGGAAAAAGGTAAAAAAGTCAGAGAGAACAAGTCTGAACCTGATTTAAAAAGGAAAAAGGTCAAAAAGCCAGAGAGAACAAGTCTGAACGTAAATATTCGGTGCATCATTTACCTGTAAGAGTTCTTTTTTTGACACAATCCCAATGAAAAATAAAGACCGTTATATGAGAGACAACATTCCACAATGTGGAAAATTCAACAGTGTGATGCACACCGTTATGAACACCATATGAGAGACAACATTCCAGAATGTGGAAAATTCAACAGTGTGATGCACCGTGACTGTAGCCTGGCTGTGTTTTGCAGTTTTATACTAATTAAATGATGAAGGATTTGCAGTGAGTATGTTTTAGCCTCAGACATCCATCATTCAGACCCCCCCCCCCGCAGTCTGGGCATCTTTCATCTTTCCTCACCACTTTTAAATATGAACTTGTTTCCTTGGCCGGTGCTGCAGACGCAGAGCGCCGTTTGTGGTTTAAAAACTGGATGTTAAACATGTCTGAGTGATCAGAGCCTCGTCAAAATCCCTGTGTTTGTTTTCCACAGTTGGCCAAGAAGATTCGGGAAAAGTTCAACCGCTACCTGGACGTAGTAAACAGGAACAAACAGGTGGTGGAGGCCTCGTACACCGCCCACCTCACGTCTCCGCTCACGGCCATACAGGACTGCTGCTCCATCCCTGCTTCAATGATGGAGTGAGTAACTCCCACGGTTTCTTACAAATGTCTTTCCAGAATGTTGATGGTCATGAAGGCACCTGTTTTACTGTCGTGACTGGTCCCCGTACGCAGCTCCGAGCGCCAACTGCTCGCAAACACAACATCTTTTCCCAGTTTAGAGATGATTTGATTGGTCCTGATCAGTAATGACTGTGTTTACATGACATCATCCACCGCCGTGCTCCGTACTCCGTGCTCCGATGCATTTGTGTTACAAAAACTATTTATTTGTTTGCGGTTGTGCCTTTGATGGCCAAGTAAATCAACAATAATGAGTTTTATGGGTCTCAGCGTCCGGGAAGACTGGAGTTGGTGAGAGACTTTCAGGGGGTTCTGGTTTTTAAACGTTATATGATGTAATCCCAGAGGTGGTCCTCACATGGGAGCATTTGTCTGTGTGATTAAACATGGCATCGATGATGGTTCAAAATTAGTCGGTACTAGTTCTTTGAAGCTACTGTCGGAGTTTTAAGGCGAAAAGCATCAATCGTTAACACCAGGAAACGGTGACTTTAATAACCGATCATCGTAACCAGGGTCTCAACAGGGCTTTGATATGTGTCCACAGCACCACCTGCAGGGGTGGATGGGCAAATACATCCTTTGTGTATATTATGCGTGGAATTTATTTGTCATTTGTGCCAAAAATGCAAGCTTTTTGTGTGGAGCCCAGACTTAATAGACTCAACATTAAGTTTAACGTTTTGTGTAGAACTGAACCCAGTCCATTTGGACCATGCTAGTTGTTAAAAACAGACATTTTACAGAGCAAACCGGGCCGCAAGCATTAATCTGTTTTTATGAAACTGGGTGTGAAATTTAATATTCCACACAAAAATCCTTTGCTGAGAGATTTAAAATTTTCCCCCACGGTTAACAGAGTGTTGCTTCAGCTTTTCTGCCAATCAGTAACTCCAGCAGGCACACGGAGTTCAGAGAAGTGTGGAGGGAGAGAAGCTTTCATTTCTAATCTACAGTGCAGCAGCTGTCTCCCCCCTTCATCCCCTCTCTCCGTCTCTGCTCTATCTCCCTCCTCTCTATCAGCAGATGAAACCAGTTACTGCTCTCTGAAGTTTTTGTTGCTGCAGACTTCACAGGCTGCAAGGTCACCTGTCTTTCCTTTATTTGTCCAGATCAGGAGGTTAGACGGGTGAGGAGTGAGGGGGGGGGGCGTCTGTCTGGGTGAGGGCCGCAGGCCACCTGTAGCCAAGTCATGCACATGACATACTGTACATACATGAGGCGTTTGTTGACATGCAGCCGTGCTGTGTTAGTGGTACAGCATGTCCATGTTTGTGGTCCTTGGATCAACAGGTTTTTTAGAGCCGCTGGGACGGAAAGGTCGCAGAGAAAAAAAATTAATATGTGAAGGTCTGGTTAGGGAGTGGAGACGAACGCAGCGTCTGATTGATCTCTAAACTTCAAAAGAGCTGAAGGGGGAAAATCACAGGGCTTTCCTGCTTCCTTTTTAGGGGGGCTTTGTGTCAGATCAGGAAATACTTTAGTAGTAAGCAAAAAAATACTTACTACTCTCTCCAAATACTCTGAATCCGTCGTGTTCTTGGCTCAGTTTACAAAAATAAAAAGTCAACATTACTAACACAACAGGATTGTCATTACCAGTTCCTTCTGCTAATTTTATAAAACTATTTTGTCCTGGCGTAGAGACTTTATATTTACCTGTACGCCAGGCCAAATAATACTGGTGACAAATTAAAATGAGGTTTCAGAACTAAATGGCAAAATATACAGTGTGGCTGCTGTGCCTGTTGCCACAAATAATGCCTCTGTGCCTGCACATGTTGCTCAATATTTCTGGTCCAACCGGAGGCTGAAATGTTGTTTTTTTTTTTGCATTACTAGCGCTATAGCACTGTTATCTTATCTTAGCTATTTGTATATATACTTTTTTAAAAGAACACTTTGCATTACTAGCTCTATAGCACTGTTATCTTATCTTAGCTAATCTCTGCCTATGCCAATTCTGTAGTAAACATCATAAACATCAGTCTCAAGCACTGTAAAAAAGAAAAGAAAAGAAAAAATGACTATTTTCTAGTTGTTTGGCTTTAACCGGCCGCTGAAGCTGTGAAGCTAACTCCACTGCAGTGTCTGTTTATCCCTAAATAAGTAGGGGGGCTTATTCATAGTGTGGTGCACTTCACTGTGCCCTTCATTAGTCTCAGGCCTCAGCTGCCTGTGGGGTCTCAGTCAGGTCAGCCAGTTTAGTGTCAGATCAGGTGGTTCACACAGTGTCCATGTCTGTTAGCTGTCAGGCTATCGTTCCACAGCCGGGCCACGGAGGCCACTGCTAAGTGTTGGCTGGAATGCTTTAATCAGTTACAACATGTTGTAGCTGAAAATAGAACGAGTTTGTAGCGGGTAGTGACTCATGTTTGCGCGAACGTGTGTCTGTGTTTGTATTTAAAACATGTAGAGTGTAGGTTGATCGTTTGCACTGAGGCGCACGTTGGAAAAATGAGGAGTGTCTGAGGTTACGTCTGGTGTTCAGTAGTGCTAAATAGAATAGAAATAAACAGTAACAAACGGTTAAAACAGATTAAATTAAAGAAAAAAAAGGGACTGATTTGCTAATGTTGGTCTGTTGGTATTTATATCAGCACAGACCTAAATATCAGATGTTTTTTCACCTAGTTTTCTTTTTTTTTTTTTTCATTTCTGTGTCTGCCAGTTGTCATTTTGTTACCAGTGCACAGTTGTCTTTTGATCAATATCATACACTATTGATGTGTGGCCTCCAGGATGTTCCTGCGATGCTAATCGTTCACACATATCGAGCCGCCGTGCCGTCTTTTCTGTTTTTTTTTCACAAATCGATGCGTTTCTCCAGGTCCGTGTCAGTGAAGTCCATTCTTTATCAGGACATACGCAGTAATATATCACGTGTACGAGTTGATACTTCACCAAGAATGTGCAGCAGCTCCGCTCGTAAATTTAACACGACAGCATTAACATTTAACATACACCACTGCGCTAACGCGCGGCTCCTGTTTCTGAGGGAGAATTCTCACCATCCACCACGCCGGCAGATTTACGCTACAGATCAAGTGTATACGTAGCAGCGATGAAGAGTTTCTCCGAGGTGGTGCTTCAGATCCTGATGGTCGTGTTGGAGATGTCATCATTAAGAACATGACGGTGATACCTCTGTTTGTACATCAGAGAAGGTCGCTGAAAAATTCTGGTCAGGTTTGGGAGGGTTGGGTGAACTGGTGACTTTAACAGATGTACATTTTGACACTGGTCCAACACTGCTCCAACAGACCTCTCTTTTTCTATATTCTATATTTCTATACACACACACCATGTATCTTAGTCTTACAACTCTGCACTCATTTTAGCCACCGGACATATTTAATTCACAGCCAGGTGTCAATTATTTGAGCGCTACCAGGTCTGTCTTCTTCCCTTTGATTCAATAGAAAAGAACTTGTTTTCAAAGTTAAATCTCAATGCAAATCTTATCCAAATCTCTGTCCTTTAAAGATATTTATTTTATACTTTAAATATTTAGAAGAGATGACCTATTTGAACATTTAATTTATTGGTAGCTCATTTTTAGAGCGATAGTATTTTAAATAAATGAACAAATATATTTTTGTTGACTTCACACCACATGTATTAGTTTTTCTCCAGGGGAGCAGTGTACGGGCCAATCAGGACTGAGGAGCTCGTGGTGTGACCTTTGTGATTTTTAAATTAAAAGAAAATCCTCATTGAATGTTTTTAAGCCGTCTTTAAAGTTGCCCGACTCTCAGTTGTGCAAAACAACAATACATGCACGTAAACAACGCTCGAGCGAAAATAGAATCAAAACTCTGTTTACAGACAGAAATAACAGCACGAGGAGAAAAACACTGAGCACAAAGACACCAACCAGCCACAATAAACACTCCTGAACTCTGGTACTTGTTTTGTGTGGGCAGTTAATGATTCTTTTGCATATTGTGCCCAGAGGCCTATTGTCTCAGAATCCCTCCACGGTTCTGTGTAATTTTGTGGTTTCTGTGTTTTTCGAGGGCCTAACAGTCAAAAACTCTTTCATGGGTTTAAAAAAAAAACATCCACAAAGACTCTATTGTCATCAGAGTTGTCTTGTTCTAACAAAGGCTTCTCTAATCACAAGTCAGGCGTAGCTCAATCCATAAGTCATCAGTACAATCCCACTTTGTTGTTGTTTGCTGTTAGCAAGTGAGCAAAATAAACTGGATTTTCACAGATATGTCTAGATTATTGCAAATGTTCTGTGTTCAGTGAGGGACTGAGTCGTGTGCTTGTAAACAACAGCAGCACAAATGGGTTTTCTGACGACCTACAAAGTCTAACTGATGCTACTTTGGAGTTCAGACTCGGGTTTTGGATTTGAACTCTGGATTTCATGAACTGAACAATAGTTTAGTTTAATAAATCTTTGTGTAAATGTTCTTTCAGGACGTGTTCTTCTTACTGTGGAGGCTATTTAATGTTCTGCTAATTACTGCTCAGTGAACGCTCCCCTCTGGGTGATATGTTAATCAAGCACCCGGTTCTGTAATGCATTATTAATTCGCATATTCAACAGGAGAATTATTTAAAACGCCGTGCCTTTGACTCAGCTGAAGAATTTAAATGAATAGGTATCGTTTTAATGTGGAAATGTAGAAAAAATGTAGCTGGTGTTTCTTTACGTTTCTCTCTAAATTCAACCTTTTTCGGAAAAATATTTTTCTGCCTTCGTTAAGACTCTGATCAGACTGGGAGACCTCCCCCTTGTTATCCCCCACTTTCTGCCTCCCGTCCTCTCTCTCTCCCCCTCGCCCCCTCCCCTCGTTCTCATTCGTTATTTTGATGTGGTATTCAAAGCTCGCACAAATGTATTTTTTATCTGGCCCGCATTTTGCTGAGCACTCGGCCGAGCCCTTCTATGCAAAGTGGGCTGAAGGCGAATAGTAATGACTTGGGCCTTATGGGAGTCTAAATGAGTGAAGTTCAAACGCCGTCTGTACATCACAGCAGCTGTCAATCAAACTGCGCCAGAGCAGGGTCTGCAAGCAGTGTGTGTGCGCATAAATGTGTGTAGACGGGAGATGTTGGAGGGGGTGTAGTGGTTGGAATGGAAGGATCAAAGCCCCGAGTCTTGGTGCAGTGCAGAACAGGCTGCTCCTCTGCATACCAGCTCTTTGTCAGCGCTCTGCAGATGGAGGCGTTAACACCGACATCTGCACGGACACACATTCAAAGAACACGGCTCGTGCGTGTGTTTGACGACGATACAAAATGTATGGAGCGTCAGAGCAGGCGTCTGCTGAGCTCTGCTGTGTAATGACGTCGACTTGACACAGATCTGCTGGTTTCACACCTCCCAGTGCTGACGTGAGCACTTGAGGTGTGTGTGTGTGTGCAGTTATAAGCCTGAGGTTTTAATAATAGAGTTCCTTATCATGATCTTGTTTATATGGAAACGGGCCAATCAGATTTGGCCGGTGCGTAAAAAAAATAAGACAATAAGAATAGCCTCACATTTAAACAGCACGTCTGCAGCAGTGTTGCCATCAGACACACAGATGGGGTCACCTGAAATGTCTAGTGTTTGATTAAAAAATTACTGGTAAAAATATTTTTTCAGCTAATTATTATTCTTTTTTAAATTATAATTAAAAATACCACTCACAATCTTAAACAACTGTATTCGTTCACTTCCAGTCAGTATTTGTATCAAATTATATTAAAAAAAAAACTCAATCAAAAAAAAATTACAAATTATATATAAAAAAAAAAACTCAATCAAAAAAAAATTCTAGGGAAATAAAGGCTCTGAAATTTCCAATGTCAAAATAGGGTCACGAGCCAAAAAGGGTTATGAACCATTGATTTATCACTACATTTTATTTTTTTTAATTTTCTTTCTACCTCACCTGAGTCTCTGTGAGTATGTGTACTGCATTAGTAACTCACACCTGACATTTGTTTCATTAAAGGAGCCTTCACGTATCACAGTATATTCCTGCAGAGACAATAGAAGCTGCTTCTCTGTGACAGATGATTTCAATCGTCCTGTTTTCCCAAGATCACGTTCAGATGTATTCAGGGAAGTTCGAAAAAAAAATCAGCAGTTTTCCCATGGAAACTCTTACTCACCAGCCATAGCTTTGGCTTTAATATGAGGTCTGGCCCACAGATGATATATAAACAATAAATCAGGTTTTCACATGAAAATATCAGGGTCTATTAGTGTCTGCAAATGTTTCATCTCATTATTGAAACTCACCGGTTTAAACCAGTGAGAGCTGAATGCTCTTTTCTTTTAACAATGAGGTCAGAGTTGAACGCGTGAACTCATAACTTTTATTGGAAATAAAAATGTGAACCAGAGCTGCTCCCAACGAATGAGCGGGAACTTTAATTCTTACTCCCTTTTTTTAATGTGTTTTCAGGTTTGACGGGAACTTCAATACAAACGTCTCCAAGACCATCTGCTGTGACCGACTCTCTCCCACCGTCAACAGCCGAGCCTTCAACCCTGGACGTGACCTCAACTCAGGTTTGTGATCATCACGTTATTAAAAAACCCGCTCACACTGTGCACGGACTGATGAACCGACCTGGAATATTCAGCCATTACTTTTCCCAAGAATTCCTGAAGTAAAAAAACAGTTGTCGGTGTTTTCCAATGGATTTTTCAGATGCGTTTTAAAAGTGGACTCAAAACATGTGAGAGGTCAGAGGTCATTAGATGGAAACTTCGTACGGACAGTAATGTCTTCTGGTCCTGGCCGCCGTGCACTGACCTGAAATGTGGTTTACTGGTAAAGGCATTTCTGTTCACATGACTTAATGCAGTAACGTTCCAAGACTGACTCGACTCTAGAACGTTCACTTGGATGGATGGAGTCTTCATCGTTCCTCCTTTTTTATGCAATCAGATTTTTACGGAAACCTTCAGCTTCAAGACGACCAGCTCATCTCTCTGAAACCCATTTTTTACGGAAACCTTCAGCTTCTAGACTTTTCCAAATATGACGACCAGCTCATCTCTCTGAAACCCATTCATAATGACTGCCATTCAAGGAGTGTCACCATCCTCTGGGTTCAAGTTACCCCTCTCCGCTGCCCCTGCCCCTCAGCACTCAGCACTGCTTGACCCCCGCTCCCTCTGAGTATTCATCCTCTCCCATTAGTCTTGGCCCAGTCTAAACAAGCAGACACACAGCAGAGGGTGGGGGGGGGGGGGGGCAAAGGGGGGGGGGAAAAAGGGGGGGGGGGGGGGCAAAGGGGGGGGGGAAAAAGGGGGGGGGGGGGGGGGGGCAAAGGGGGGGGGGAAAAAGGGGGGGGGGGGGGGCAAAGGGGGGGGGGAAAAAGGGGGGGGGGGGGGGCAAAGGGGGGGGGGAAAAAGGGGGGGGGGGGGGGGCAAAGGGGGGGGGGAAAAAGGGGGGGGGGGGGGGCAAAGGGGGGGGGGAAAAAGGGGGGGGGGGGGGGCAAAGGGGGGGGGGAAAAAGGGGGGGGGGGGGGGCAAAGGGGGGGGGGAAAAAGGGGGGGGGGGGGGGCAAAGGGGGGGGGGAAAAAGGGGGGGGGGGGGGGGGCAAAGGGGGGGGGGAAAAAGGGGGGGGGGGGGGGGCAAAGGGGGGGGGGAAAAAGGGGGGGGGGGGGGGGCAAAGGGGGGGGGGAAAAAGGGGGGGGGGGGGGGGGCAAAGGGGGGGGGGAAAAAGGGGGGGGGGGGGGGCAAAGGGGGGGGGGAAAAAGGGGGGGGGGGGGGGGCAAAGGGGGGGGGGAAAAAGGGGGGGGGGGGGGGCAAAGGGGGGGGGGAAAAAGGGGGGGGGGGGGGGGGGGCAAAGGGGGGGGGGAAAAAGGGGGGGGGGGGGGGCAAAGGGGGGGGGGAAAAAGGGGGGGGGGGGGGGCAAAGGGGGGGGGGAAAAAGGGGGGGGGGGGGGGCAAAGGGGGGGGGGAAAAAGGGGGGGGGGGGGGGGGCAAAGGGGGGGGGGAAAAAGGGGGGGGGGGGGGGGCAAAGGGGGGGGGGAAAAAGGGGGGGGGGGGGGGCAAAGGGGGGGGGGAAAAAGGGGGGGGGGGGGGGCAAAGGGGGGGGGGAAAAAGGGGGGGGGGGGGGGCAAAGGGGGGGGGGAAAAAGGGGGGGGGGGGGGGCAAAGGGGGGGGGGAAAAAGGGGGGGGGGGGGGGGGGCAAAGGGGGGGGGGAAAAAGGGGGGGGGGGGGGGGCAAAGGGGGGGGGGAAAAAGGGGGGGGGGGGGGGGCAAAGGGGGGGGGGAAAAAGGGGGGGGGGGGGGGCAAAGGGGGGGGGGAAAAAGGGGGGGGGGGGGGGCAAAGGGGGGGGGGAAAAAGGGGGGGGGGGGGGGCAAAGGGGGGGGGGAAAAAGGGGGGGGGGGGGGGGGGCAAAGGGGGGGGGGAAAAAGGGGGGGGGGGGGGGCAAAGGGGGGGGGGAAAAAGGGGGGGGGGGGGGGGCAAAGGGGGGGGGGAAAAAGGGGGGGGGGGGGGGGGGGGGGCAAAGGGGGGGGGGAAAAAGGGGGGGGGGGGGGGGGGCAAAGGGGGGGGGGAAAAAGGGGGGGGGGGGGGGCAAAGGGGGGGGGGAAAAAGGGGGGGGGGGGGGGGGGGCAAAGGGGGGGGGGAAAAAGGGGGGGGGGGGGGGGCAAAGGGGGGGGGGAAAAAGGGGGGGGGGGGGGGCAAAAGAGTGAGAGATAACACAGGGAGAGCGAGGGAGAGAGAGAGAATGAGAGAGAGAGAATGATGAATGAAGGAGATGGAGAAGGGTTGGGAGCTTGTAATGGAGTAATTGTATCACGACAGCGTGGAATTCCTTCCCCCTTCCCTCATCCTTAAAGCAGGGTGAAGTAAAGAAAAGGGGAGAAAAGAAAAGATGTGGATGGATAGGTGAAAGGATGGATGGATGGATGTGTTTTTTTCTCCGTCAAAAAATCATGAAGATATTCAGTGTAACTGGTTTGGTCGTCTTGGATGCGTGGGTGGATTTAATATTTGGGAGGACTGTGTTGCGGATCAGATGATCAGATAATCTTTGAGTGTTGCTCCAGAGTCCAGTCTCCGTGTTACCACATTGAAACTATTTTCTGATTGGACTCCAAAACACTGCAGTGCCAGAGAGAAAGCTTTTGACATGATTGTTTGAAAAACGAGAAGCTTCTGACTGAGTTGAGTGAGTTCAGGATCGAAAAGTCTGTCACTATCACTTGTGTGGAGCGTAAACTAAAACCAAAGTCTGCATGAGCTCATCCCTCCGGCTTCCCAGCTTGCGTCAGCACGGAGCATCAGACCCACCAAACGTCAAGCTCTGATGAGATGGGCATGTGCAAATGCCCCCAGGCCTGGACCATACTGGATCCTCCAGTCTCTCTCAGGCAAACATTCAATGTAGTGAGTCCCTCCACATCACCTGTACAGTCTTTCCAAGTCCTTAGTCCTCTTACCAGCAAGTATTACTGCAAGTGTGATAATGTGGCTGTATATACAGATGGACAAAGTGGGACATTTGTATTTTGGTGAATAGCAAATGTTCCTGTACTCCTGGCCTTGTCCATCTGTTTCTGGTGAAAATCTAAACATCGGTGGCAGAGTGGAGTAGTGTTGCCTGACAGATGAGTGCACGCTCCTCCTTCTAGTGTCAACACAACTGAGTGGTTCCTGTTTATAAAGGCCTCGGAGATGAATGGAGTGACAGGGCAGGAATAATGTATGGTGTGCTGGTACTGTGTGTGAAAACCTGCCTGTCTTCACAAAAAAATGTTTTTTTGTTGTTTTTTTTTTGCTAGTACATGCTCTAAAAAAAGACTGGGGTTGCTTTAAATATTACATTTTGTTGTTAGAGGATGTTTTTCTGTCACTGGTCTCGTGAGTCAATATTAGTTTTGAGGGTCAAAGTAATGTTGGTATTTTTGGTATTTTTATACCCAGCTATTGAGCTAGTGCTGTACTTCTCAAATAATGGGTCGGCTCCCCTGGGGGGGGGGACAGGCTGGACATAAGTGTAGCACTGCTGTAATGCTTGAATGATAACAAGCCTCCAGTCACTAGGTGGCAGCAACTCATACAGTGGTTTGTACAATCACAATTAATCGTTTCGATAATTAATCACAATTAATTGAGATCAAAGTCATCTTTCCCAAATGTACAAAAAGACTGGTTGGTGTCAGCTCAGACGTACGCCGTAGACACTACATGTCCCATGAATCACCACTAGTTTTAGAATATTGATATAAGAATCCGTTTTAGAAAGTTATTTTAACAGCTGCAGAAATGTTTATTTATAGAAGCCTTCAGTGATGGTTTACACTCCTCCGACTTCTTTCCTTCCAGTGTCACTTCTAGCACGGTTAAAGGCCCAGAGTTTCTATTTGCGTACTCCTCCCTAACCCCCGCCCCTCCCAGACCTTTTTGTGAAAGGCCGTTTTGTGTCGCAGTGAGCAAAGAGGAAGTTGCTGGCTTTGTGATGAAATCTCTGTAAAGATACAGTTTACTGTGTGACCCAGTTTAAAAAACGGAAGAAAAGAAATCTGCTCGTCTGTTGGTGTTGAGCAAATCTCAGAGTCGGGTCTCAGTGGAGGAAACTGTCAGGTCATTATTTACCTTTCCATAGAGTCACTTCAACTTTCCAGTACAATCCACAGCGTACAAGTGCAAAGACTTGCTGAACTCTGAGGAATGTTTTCAACTTTGTCAGTCTTTCTGTCAGTGTTCCATGTAAAACAAATCTTCATGTTCTGGCACAAAATGGCAGAGTTTTAGAATTAGGAGATGGAATTTTTGTTATGTATTTTGAACATTTTGTGCGAGGTTAGATCTAATGTATGTCATTAATGTCTTTTGCCTTCAGTGCTGGCAGACAACCTGAAGTCCAACCCAGGCATCAAGTGGCAGTACTTCAGCTCGGAGGAGGGTATCTTCACCGTCTTCCCCGCTCACAAGTTCCACTGCAAAGGCAGCTATGAGCACCGCAGCAGGTATTCGTCAACCGCTCCCCTGATTTTCATATTCTCACAGAGTGTCGTTTTGAAAACCCTAGTTAAACCGTCTGTGGTTTACACCACAGTAACATATTCCCTCACCTCTTCCTGATGCTCCCTCCCACCACCTCCTCCTCCCATATCCCCTCCCACCATCTTGTGTCTGTTGCTGTGGGGGGGCCCAGAGGGGCACATTGATGGCATGCTGCCCTCACTTACCATGACACTCCTGGCCTCTGGCAGCAATGTGGTTTTTTAACTGTCTTTTTTTTTACCAGGCATGTTTTAAAGATGTCTGTTTCGGTTTTGTCTCTGATTTTTTTTTCTATCTTTCTCTCAGTTACTCCTGTCTGTATTTAGTTCTGGTTCTGGTCTTTAACTTTTTTTTTTCATCATGTCCAGTTTTTTTTTCCTTTTTCCTTTCCTTCCCACTGTTGAAGTCAGTTAACTGGCATAAGGCCATGGCAGAAATTACACTGCCTGGCTTCCTTCACGTGTGAATGAGGCTTTGTGAGGACATCACTCTCCTTCCTCACCCTGTCTTGGTGTCTCCGTGTCTGGCAGACCACACACAGACACACAAAAGCTCTGACACTCCCCTCCTGTGGAACCTCCAAATGTATGCACAGCCAGTGACATGCAAAAGAATCTTTTAAATTAGGCTTTAGGATTGTATGAATATTTACTTTGTATTTGCAAATGTAAATGTAACATCTCTGCTGCAGGATACTACAAAAAAAAAAAAAAAATGAGGCCCAGTCTTTTGTCTGCTGGTGCTGTCAGCTGGCCAACTTGTCTGCCTTCAGCAGGTCATTATTTCTTGGCACGAAGAGTCAGATTAAGAGTGTTCTTCTGGGATTTTTTTAAGGCTGTGTTTCTCTTACCTGCTGTGGTTCTGTAATATTTCATACATCAATATTTCAGAGACAGACGTGAAAGTTTAAGTTATGGGAATGATACAAGATAAATTACGTAAGTTGTAGAAGGTCGAAAAGTGTAAATAATTGAACTACACAGAAATATTGCAAACTTTTAAGAAAAGACAACCTCTGAACAGCTGCTGGATTCATTAACACATACTTCAGTTTAAATACGACCCCAGTCGACTACACTGTCGTAAGCTATGGGTGCGATGTAGGTGGCAACAGGGTTCCTTTACTCTTCACTTCTCCTGATAATTCAGTTAGGACGAGACTGGAATAATACAGTATGTAGGGGCAAAAATAGACTAAGGGTTAGGTCTAATTAAGTCCTTTATTAAAGTCTTTAGTTTCTGTGCTGTTTAGTTGGTTCCATAGTGTTGCGATTAGCACGCCTGCATTGCAAGGTTCCTGGAGGAACCACATGTTTAGCTCCTCCTGTCGCAGCGGATCAGCTGTTAACACAACCTCAGTGTGGAATTAATAGTTTTAGTAGTAAAAGTTTTTATTCTTATTATTATTTAGTTGTCATTTGTGATTTTCTTTGGGAATGTTAGCTCAAGAAATCCATGTTGAAGATTAGTTAATTTTAACATAGAAAGTTACTGAAACCAACGATTTTGAAATCCCATTCAAATCTCAACAGCATGGTAACGTAACAACGATTTTGTGTAATGTCCGAAATTCAATTCAAATCTCAACAGCATGGTAACGTACAGTTTGATCGTTGTGTGTTCTCCACCCAGGCCTGTGTACGTGTCTGCAGTGCGTCCTCAGTCCAAACACATCGTAGTGATGGTGGACCACGGGGCGTCGGTGACCAACACCCAGCTTCAGATCGCCAAAGACTCCGCCCTCGTCATCCTCAACGCTATCGACGAACATGACAAGGTCAGTCAGAGAAAACACACACCTTCACCTTCAGCACAACCACAGCATTCGACTAATATCTGTTTGTGATGTTGTCTCCAGGTTTCCATCCTGTCAGTGGCCGAGACGGTTCGATACTGTTCACTGGACCAGTGCTATAAAAGTCTGCTGTCTCCAGCCACAAGTGAGACCAAGAGGAAGATGAGCACCTTCATCTCCAACATCAAGGCTTCAGACGGAGCCACGCACCACGCAGCTGGCTTCCAGAAGGCTTTCCAGCTGCTCCGCAACACCACCAGCATCGGCAGGCAGGGCATCAGTAAGAGCTGCAGAATAAATCTGTCAATTCTGACTCAGTTTGGTGCTGCCCCCTCTCTGTTCAACACTTTCCTTATATGTGGTATTCTTGTTATTCTTCCTCATCAGCCACAGACATGGTCATCATCTACCTGTCGTCCGGCACCACGTCCAGAGAGTCGTCGGAGCCGGAGAAGAGGGCAACGCTCAGTGTCATCAAGGAGGAGAACCGACACCTCAACAACTCCGTCATGATCCTCACCTACGCTCTCATGCACGGTATGTGGTTCAGGACGCGTGACTTCATTCTACGGCCGGGACTTTAATAACAGGGATTTTAATTAATTACGTTCAGACACAATAAAGTAATAATTAAGACGTAACGCCCAGATTCTCAAAACACCCTAGTCCATTAGGTGGCGATATTGCACCTAAAATAGTGAGAAACATGCAATGAATGCAGTGAGTCATGTCGACGTACGAGACAGTTTGGTCACAGACACCAGAGCTAAATATGAACTCAGAGTTCACACCCAAAAATGGTTTTGTCTCAATATTTTTTGCTAAGGAAAAGCATGATTAACAACTAAAATGTTTCCCTAAAATTTAGCTTAAAGATAAAGAATAGTTTGGTTCTCAGTCTGAGACGGTGACGGTGCTACATATTTCATTTAAACACAAAGACATTTTTGTAATTTTCCTACAATAGGTTTTGTTTTTTTTTTTTTCGTTTTTTTTTTCCGATGAGCTGCTTCTGTTTCTAAGATCTTTTTTTCCCGGTTCTCGGAGGTGCTGAGACAACCTCATGTTTGTAAGATCTTTTTTCCTGGGTTCTCGGAGGTGCTGAGACAACCTCAAAGGCTGTTGTTGTCATCATGTTTGTTGGTGTGTGTGTGTGTGTGTCTGTTTGTGTGTGATACATTTGCTCCATTTTCTTTTTCTCTGTTGTTGTCTGTGCATCTGTCTCCTGTGTTTGCCACTATAACTCAACCACACACAAACACACAAACACACACACACACACACACACATACACACATGGATGAGTGGTTCATCCTTTGAAGTCTGACTGTGTCCTCTCCTACCTTAGATGTCCCTCATTTCCATTCTCCAATGCAAAAATGATTTGTATTGATGGTGGACTAATGCATGCACAACAGAGGTGTGTATGTGGGTGTGTGTGTTGTTGTGCTTGTGTGTCAGTGTGTGACAGACAAAGGACCTTGGTTGTTGCATGATGAAAAGGATGCTGAAATCTATTATCCTCTGGGTTTATTAGAATTTCATATCCAGAAAAGCATTTGTTTTTCACCGATTTTGTCCACAGAGAAAAACAGGCCCGTTCTGAGAGTGTGTGTTTCCTGAATCTTCTGCCAAATATGATTTTTTACACACGTGTTTATATGCACCACAATATAAAGAAATTGCTTAATAATATATAATCAGAAAAAAAAGTTCATCACACCAGTAGGATGCAGCTCTTTTCTAAAGATATATAGAAATGCTAAATGCACTTTAGCACAGTTGCAATTAATGCCTTCCTGAATTTGGCCTCTAGGTGGCATCGAGCCCTTCAACATCCACGGTGCAGTCTGCAAAAGCGAACTGGCCCTGTGCTCCGTCGTGGCCCACTGTTATAGGAAAAACGTTGCTCAAGCAGAAATAAAACAAATCTGAACTCAGTGCTATGCTGTCATCCATTCTTTGTCTCGATGTTTGACATCGCCACCCACGCTCTTCAGGCACTCAGCATGACTAGAGCTTTGGCGTTAAAGAGGGATTCTGCTGTAATCCAGTCAATGATGAGATAGTGGCAGACACGTGGTGTTGCTGTGAGATGCCAACTGTTCCAGGTGATAGCTGCAGTTACCGACTGTTGTCTCCCACTCTCCCTCAAATGGCCTTATTAAGCCTGGAAAGATCAAGTTGAACTCTGCGTCAACTTCCCCTCCATCCGTGTGGGATTAACCCGTGATATCTGAGTGACAGATGCGTGTGATTACACGAATACAGTCTGTGGAGATAATGGCACAGGCTGGCAGCTCAGAGCGTGCGTTCTACCACGTATCTCCACTGCTGACGCTGGATCTATTTGAGAGATCCACACGGTGACATGTTCCATGATACCAGCCGCTGGCTGTTGGAGGATGTGAACTGCATGAGGTCAAATGTTCTGGAAATACGCCTCAGATGAGTTCATCACATTTTCAGCAGCAGCAGCAGCAGTGGAGTCAGGTCTTCTTCTCCAGCTCCTTAAAGGACTTTTTTTTTTTTCCTTAAGTAACAGAGAGAAAAGAAAACCGTTGAATTCCTTCTATTAAAGGAATTAGAGTCATGTGCTTTCTAGTGAAGAGCTGTTTACTCATTTTAGCTCACTGTCAGACACTCCCTGCTATTTTCCCTCTGTACAATTACCCCATTCACTGGTCCTTCAGACATTCCATCAGCTCAGGCTTTGTCCTTAATAAACCTGCTTGATTAAACCAAACAACTTTTGTTATCCACTCCTAATCTCACCCTCCACTTCTTCCCATCTGTCATCAGAGGGAGTAACAGGACTGAAGGAGTTGGCGTTCCTCCGGGACCTGGCGGAGCAGAACTCGGTCAAATACGGGGTGGACAGATCGTCAGACAGAGACCGTCTCTTCATGGCTTCGTCCTCTTCGGGCTCGGGAGCTTCAGTCATGCCAGTGGTGAAGGGGAGTATGATGGTGCTGAACCAGCTGAGCAACTTGGAGACATCAGTGGGTCGCTTCTACATCAACCTGCCCAACCGCATGATTGACCTGGCTCGGTTCAGCCTGCCCTACTCTGACCCACTGGGAGACGGTGAGTGGTGGACTAAAGTCAACAATATTGCTGGTCAGAAAAACACATCACACATAAAGTTTTAATGTGGAAAGTCCAAGTCCTCAAAGTAGGCCGTCTAGAAGAAATTATCAGAGGCACCTGTCTGAAAAGACGGTTCACGGGTCTGAATCCATCCCAGAAAATCCAAGCTCCAAATTCCCTTGCTTTAATATATAACAGCTAAAAAGCTCAAAACACTATGGGGGAAAAAGCTCGACTCAGAGCTGTTGAAGATCACTGTGTGTCTTTCTTCAATTCCTGACACTATGTACATATTGTGTTCAACTAAACCGAAACTAAACGCTGAATTAGTAAATTGTGAGTAAATGCGATTTAAGAAGATTTTTATTGTCATTACATATACGTTTTGTGATAGTTTTGTTTGATGATGCATTATGGGATTTTTCTAATGTAAAATATGAGCTGGCAGAACATCTCCGACATAGAATAAAATATGAATCTATTTGTAAAGCAGCTGCTTTTATTCATTTTATTTCTTCTTCACTCACTCCGTGATCAGCTGCAGAGAGTTGACAATAGTTCAAGGAACTAGTACATTGAGTTTGTTACTTCATCCAAAAAAAAACCTCCACAAACTAAAGAAGAATATTCCATGACCTTTTCCTCTTTTCTTCTCCAGGTTTCATCATGACTGTGAGCCGACCCTGTTACTTTGGTAACCTGCTCCTGGGTGTGGTCGGGGTGGATGTAAACCTGGCCTACATTTTGGAGGATGTCACCTACTATCAGGACTCTCTGGCTTCATACACCTTCCTCATTGACAACAAAGGTTGGTTTTTTTTCACGTGAAATAACTTTTGTGATATTAGAGTTAAATAGAAATGCCCTTCAGTCGGCTGAACTTATACCTTATGACAGCACTCAAAAAAGATCCCAAAAAAGCAGGTTTTGAATTTTAAGACAGAGGGGAAAGTAATTTTACCAGATGGCGGCCTGATTCTTCCATCCAACTGCAGGGAGAGGGGACGTGTTTTGCACATTACTTGGGGGATTCCTGCACTTTCTGTCTCAGATTGATCATATAAAACGGCGTACACTGCGAGACATAATGACAGAATTTTTTATGGGTTCTGAAACGGCCCTGAAACCATAACTGGGTCAGGGGCTGCTCCCACACGTTCACGTTCCTAATAACAGGCGACGCAGCAGGTCTGCCTGAAGGTGAAATTTACAATTTTTATTTTGTGTCTGTACGGCAAAAAAAAAAAAAAAAATTAGATTGTAAAACAGTGACAAAACCAATTTCAACATCAGGTTAAAACCTTGCAGTCCAGTGTTTTCCCTTAAAAAAAAAAAGCAAAAAAGGAGCGCATTCATCTGTGTAGGTTGTCAGTAATTCAGGTTATTTTCAGGTTGGCTGTGGGTTTCTTTAACCACAAAAGCTTCTTATGTTTACTGAAACAACCTCCTGGACCAAGTTCTTCAAATGTCTTCATGAAATCAAATCCAGTTTTCTTCTTTCACATACGCTTATTTTTGTCTCTGCTAATTTCATTTTACATTAATCCAGCCTCAGACTTTATTCACATCTACTCCACAGCAGCGACACTTCCTTGGTATGTCGTTCTTAATGCCCCACAGCAGCGCAGGTTGGTTAGGTCCGGTCTAAGTTGCTCTTGGCCAACGGAGACGAGGTCTTTGCGAAACCACTGGTGCCATTGAGGTCATACTGAGAGGGACCATAGATGCATGACATCATGCACGTACAGTTAAAGTGGCTGTAAAATACAAAAATGTCACTCTGCATTTGGAGACTTCGTGTCTGCCTGCCAGGAAAACGGGGGGAAAAGAAGTGATGAAAGCTGCAGGAAATAGGTTTTAACCTGTGTTCAAAAAGAATGTATTAATAACATTCACCAGCCTGTGGTGCAATTTAATGAAACCCCATTTTAATAAAATATGATGAGGGCCAGTGTAGATCAGGAGAGAGAACAGCCTGTCTGTCCCACTCTGGCTTTTCTCTTTGTGAAAAACGCCAAATGTCTTAAAATAATGAGTGTAAAAGGAACCGAAAAGGCAGAAGGAAATTAGAGTGTTAGTGTTAATGTGTCAGGAGCTGGGAAGGAGGAATAGGAGGCAGGTGGGAATGATGTGTCAGGAGCTGGGAAAGGAGGAATAGGAGGCAGGTGGGAATGTTGGGAGTGGAGGACCTGTGAATGTGTGGACGGATGGTGCAGTGAAGCAGTCATAAAACCAGCAGAATGGGAAAAATGGGAAAATCGATTAGAATCATAATTGTTCGCAATTAGTATGAGTTTTCTTTTATATTTGCCAGAGAATTAGTGCAGCTGTGTGTGTTTTTAAGTACGTGTTTGTGTTCCCAGCATTCTCAATGACCCCCTCTCTCTCTCTCTCTCTCTCTCTCTCTCTCTCAAATGTTTATTTGAATAAATAAGGCATCAAATTATAGCTTATTAGTGAGGCCAGCTTATTAACGCAGTAACACAGTAAACACTGACAAATGACTCTCATTACAGTTATTAGACCACATTCAAACGCCAATTATACTCCAGGTGAATATAATTGGGTAAATGTGTTGCTGACTGGAGGCTTGTGCAGCAGCAGCTTGGTGACTTTGCTGTTCGTTGTTCGTTTATTTCTGCCTGGACATGTTCACTGGAGCCACGGTGCTGATTTTAAATAATAATAATTCTGTCGTGAACGTCTTTATTTTTTTTACCAGGTTACACCCTGATGCACCCGTCACTCACCAGGCCTTACCTGATGACTGAGGCTCCTCTGCACACAGACATCATCCACTACGAGAACATCCCAGGATTCCCTGCTGTCAGACACAACATTCTCAGGTAGGAGAACGAACATCATTTTAAAACATTTATTTATATTTATAATGAGTTGATGTGTAAACATTCTATTCTGTGTATCTGCTGTGCCAGCACTAATGTCATTGTAGTCTTCTACTAGAAGTAGTATTAGTAGTATTAGGACTTAATAATAAAAATTGTGGTTAGATTACAAAGTGGCAAAAGGCGTCAAACAAATTTTAAAAAATAATGTAATAAAATTAAACAGATTTTTTTTTTGTGGCCTGTAACCAGAAGATCTATGTCCCAGGATTGGTCCAGGTCCCGGTGGTTGAGGACCCCTGTTACAATACAATATGTCCGCAGCTACTATACATACTATACATACAGTATATATCTGTATCATTTTCTATCAGCAGCATTTCCAGTCTCTGTGGGTTTGTTGTGTTGTCTTCTTTGTAGTGTAGTGTAGATTCTGTTGCCTTGTGTAAAATGGTACAAGGATTGTGGTGTTTTTTTTTGCAGCCTCCCTCTGGGCAGTCAGATCATCGCTGTTCCACGGAACTCCTCTCTTTCCTGGCACACCAACCGACTCAGAGACAACAGCAAAGACGCCTACAACGTCAGCTACGCCTGGAAACTGGTAACAATTTTCAAATGTGTTATATTGTGACATGTACAGGTAGAGTTTAAATGATAAAAACAATTGCACTGGATGTTTAAAAACAGTTCTTTATATAGTTTACCTCTGAGATTAACCATCATGCCCGGGGTAGTAAAGAACACTTCTATTGTATGTATAATATAGGGAATATAGCTGTAGGTCGACACAAGCAATCAGACGTTAGCATTAGCTTTTCTGTCAAATACAAACAGATTTTTTTCCAAATATAAAGCCTGGAAACACTGTGAACAGAAACATATCCCCAGAAATTGTACTGTTTCAACAAATGAGGAATGGTGGACAACTGCTAGCTTAGCTGTATCTGTTAGCTTTTAAGCTAATTCAACTTAGCAGCTGAGCTGTTTTAGCTATTTTAGCTGGAAGCCACTCCTCTAAAACGTTGCGTCATTATCTGTACGATTATCTGAGGTGTAAAAACCGCTGTCTTTGTTCTGTGTGGTCTTCTAGGTTCAGGACACGTCCTTCATCCTGTGCATCGTCTACATACAGCCGGAGATCCCAGTGAAGCAGCTGAAGAACCTAAACACAGCGCCCAGCTCCAAGCTCCTCTACCATCGTCTGGACCTGCTGGGTCAGCCCAGTTCCTGCCTCCACTTCAAGCAGCTCGCCACCGTCGGTAAGATAAACTGATGTAATACTTTAGGAATTGTAGCAATAACTCGTACTCCTCCTGCATTCAGCTCCTAAATGTTGATTAAAATTAAACAACTCTTGACTTTTTTCACTCACTTTCTTTCCTTCACTTCCCAGAATCCCCCACAGTCATGTTAGCGGCTGGTAGCTTCTCCTCACCTTACGAACACCTGAGTCAACCTGAAACGAAGCGTATGGTGGAGCACTACACCGCCTACCTGAGTGATAACACGAGGCTCATAGCAAACCCTGGACTCAAGGTAGTCAAGCACTCAGACCTGGTGGAATATAGGCTACAAGGCCCACACACGCAATCAGACATTAGCATTAGCTAATGCTTTTTTTTTTCAAATGTGAAGCTTGGAAATATTGTGAACAGTAACATGACCCCAGAAATTATACTATTTCAACAAATGAGTAATGGTAGACTGCTAGCTTAGCTGTTAGCTGTTGGGCTAATTCAACTTAGCAGCCATTGTAGCTTAAAGCCACTCCTCTAAAACAAACAAACCAAAAATAAATAAACTTAACATTATTATGGCTAGTAATTTTTGCTTTTTTTAAAAAACGAATTACAATTTTTTTATTTAAATTATTGTGTTTCAGTATGCAGTCATTTGTAAAGGAACAGAAAGTTGTTCAGAAAGTTTGTGCTAAAGTTTTCAATATTCATTTCCTCACTACCAAGTATATATAATATATATAAATATGCGGGATTATATAAATATAATTTCACATTAAATTCAAAATTCTGCTCGAACCTTCTACAAGTGCTGTTCTGTGCCTTTAAGAATGGATAAATCCTCATGTGGTGTTGGCAGCCTGTGCACACTGCTGTCCTGGGGATAGACGGAGGTTAGAGTTTGAACTCTGAGCCTCAGTCCCAGCTCTGATTCCCAGGCTCTTCTGAAAGGCCTCCTCCAGTCACATCATCACCTCTGTCACACTTGACACACTCTCAGGATGTTTGTCGGGAACGTAGGCCTCATCACATCCCATTAGGAACTTTATTTTATTAGTTTCGTCTGTTTTTGTCACCTCCTCATCAAAAATACAGGACAATGATGAAGATTTTAGTTGAATCTTCTTTTCAGGCCTTTTGGATGTAAACATTCAGAAATGAAGTTTTCAGACCAGCTGTAGATACAATCAGTTCTAACTCTTCTCCTCCCTCTCTACCTTTTTTCCTTTCCTTTCTCCCCTCCTTGCTCCTCTTAACTCCCTGTTTTCTCCCCCGTTTCCTGCTCCTCTGCAGTCCTCCGTCAGGAACGAGGTTATGGCGACCAGTCACGTCACGGATGAGTGGATGACACTAATGGAAATGAGTAGCCTCAACTGCTACATTGTGCGCCGTTACATAGCAACCCCCAGTGGGGTGCTGCGGATTTACCCAGGATCACTGATGGACAAAGCCTTCGACCCGACCCGCAGACAATGGTGAGGCTCAGCAAAGAGAGGCAGGAAAGGAGGGAAGGTGTGCCTGTGGGGACCTGAGTGTGAAGCACTGATTTACTTTAGTTACCTTTGGTTGGTCATGGTGACTAAAACTTTTTTATTTATTTATATATTTTCTGAGGGTGTAGTACAACAACAACATTTAAATAGTGTGATGTTTATTCATATATTTTCTTAGCACAACAACAACATTTAAATAGTGTGATGATGTCATTTAACGTACATTTAAGATTCTTTTAAAAAATTGTACATAGTTGTATATTTGCTTTATTCAAACACTGTTTCCAAAAAAAGTTTTAGCAAAATGATAGATGAAAGATTAAACCCTGCCCTTAATTATTTCAAATTAAAGAAAAACAAAAGTAGATTTAACTAATAACAATGAATGGAAAAAAACGTGAACAAACGTAAGACAGGAAAGCTCAATTAAATTAATTAAATTAAAAATACCCAATGACTGTGTAGCAGTCTGTATTTTATACAGGTAAAAAATTGCATTTGCAAAACTGCAGCAGGAAGCGGAGACTCACTTCACCAACTCACTCTCTAGTGTTGCAGATATAATATAAAGTGTTTTGTTATTTTTCATGTGTTCAGTCGGAAGATCAAAATTTCTGTGATGATTTTTTAAAAACCTTTTGTCGCTTGTGTGTGCAGGTACCAGCACGCTGTGGCTAACCCAGGCCTTATCACCTTCACTGGGCCTTATCTGGATGTGGGCGGAGCCGGATATGTTGTCACCATCAGCCACACCATCCATGCCTCCAGGTAGGAATAACAAATGTCCCAGAGGATCTCATTGTCATTAGAATGTAGCATGTGATTAAAGGAGGCCTCAGATGATAGAATCTCACATCACTGTTTCAGAGTCGTGGTCAAATCAGCTCTCAGTGTTAGATTCACTTCAGTTGGACTCCACCTGCAGTGAATCAGGGAAAGAAAACTTCAGTGAAGTCTTTGGTTTTTGCTTCAGGGTTCTGTAGTGAAGATCATAAATAGATTTGAACACATGTTCCTGGTTCTGCCACATTTATCGCCGTGTTCCATCTCCTTCAATGTGCCCTCGGGAAAGTCACATGTAGCTCCATGTTCCATTCCTCAGCTGTTTTTATGTTAGAGTATAATTTGTTTTAAGATGTTATCACGTGTCACACACATGCAAACCTTTATCATCAAATTAATCTTTTGGGTTTTTTTATTTGTTTGAAAGTAATCTGGATACTTTAGAGTACCACCACCAGTGGTTAAAATGATCCAACTTTATTTAGCTGCTCTGAAAAACATTACTCCATTCGTGTATGCAACAGTAGCAGACCGAACAATTAAAACCTGTTCCACCAGGTGGCAGCAGATGCTTATAGAAACCAATAAAAGTGAGTCTCAGAACTGTTGAAGAAACTCTTTGTGTGTTTTTATTGATTTCCTGCAAGTGTATCAGTACTGTGTTCAACTAAACAGGCCCAGGGCCTCACACTGCGTGAGTGTATTTTGGATACACACTCTGTCATAAACCTGTCAGGAAAGAGTATTAAAATCAGTGTGTGTGTTATGTCAACAACTGTTGGGATCTATACGGTAATGAAGCTGTGACGCCAAACAACCTTAACCCTTTATTCTCCACCGTCTGTTCTTCAGCTCTCTGTCGGCCCCTGGTTATGCTGTGGCAGTGATGGGAATAGACTTCACTCTCAGGTATTTCTACAAAGTTCTGCTGGACCTGTTGCCCATCTGCAACCAAGACAAAGGCAACAAGATCAGGTACGTTTTCCTCTGAACTTCTTCTGCTGAACTAAAGAGTGAGAACATAACTAGCAAAAGACATTACAAATGAGAAAAGGGAGGGAATGGAGATAAGCTGATTATCCCAGCATTCCTCTTGGAAATGTAGTGTTGCCGCTGTCTCAGTCTGACATACTTCCCCCAGCTTTACTTTCACCCCTCATTTTTTCTTTATCCCCTATTTTCCACTTCACTCCATTCAGTCCCGGTCCCCTCTCTTTCGCCCCCTCGCTCTCTCCATCGTCATGCACTCTGTTGGTGTTTCATGGTCCATATAAAACAGGATTAGCTCAGGGAGGAGCCACGATTTTTTTTTGTTTTTTTTTGCAGAATGTGGAGGCAACAAAGGGGGGCAGTGTTATGCAGATGAATGAAGCTGTATTTTCCTACAATTGAAAGAGTGATCTGATCAAACACAGAACAGTGTACAGTACATTCTGTTTACTGCAACCAACACTAAGGACAACGTGTCTCTGTACCTGTTCACCATGTAGGTGCTTCATCATGGAGGACAGAGGCTACCTGGTGGCCCACCCCACTCTGATAGACCCCAAAGGTCATGCCCCTGCAGAACAGCAGCACATCACACACAAGGTAAACACGCAGAATAACGTCAGTAATAAACACCTGAATGAATGCACATGTTAGAACAAAACCTTCTGTCCGTCTGTAATCCAACATGGTTAAATGATGCACTTCCTGTTATTCAAATTGAGTCAGTGTTTTAGTATCGCCCCAATTTTTATGTATTCGTCTTCAATTCTTTCCTTCACGCCAGGAGCCGCTGGTTGCCAACGACATCCTGAACCACCCCAACTTTGTCAAGAAGAACTTGTGCAACAGCTTCAGCGACCGCACGGTGCAGCGTTTCTACAAATTCAACACCAGCATCGTGGTGAGTCACTGATGAAGTGGATCCTCTGCATGTTTGAGTGGCAGCTCAGAAAAACCTGTTCACACTGATGCGGTCATGCAGAAACAGACTCCGGTACATCAGTATTGCACTGCCTCCTAGTGGTGGTCATTGGCGTGACAGTCATGGGCATGTCTTGTTTATTTACTGAGATTTGGGACGGATGTTGTTGTTTATAAGTTGTTAATTATTTTAATCTTATTTTGAATTCTATAACCAAATGTTCCTAATAATAGAACTACGTATCTACATTTTTAAAGCTCCAAATGCCTTGATTACAAATGTTTGTTTTTCATTTTAAAATATCTACATTTTTAAAGGTCCAAATGCCTTGATTACAAATGTTTGTAGTCATTTACATTTTTATTTTATTATTTTTATACAGTAAAACTGTGTAAAACCATTTATCTAAACTAAACACCTAAACTAAAGATGTGCGTCTCCTATCAGGGTGATCTCACCAACTTGGTCCATGGCAGCCATTGCTCGAAGTACCGTCTGACTCGAATCCCTGGCACCAACGCTTTCGCTGGCATTGTCAACGAGACATGTGACTCTCTGGCATTCTGTGCCTGCAGCACCGTTGACCGTCTCTGTCTCAACTGTCACAGGTAAAGGACACTGACTTGTCAGGGGCTCACTCTCAGATAATGTTTAAAGAATAACAGAGTCAGAATTTTATTTTTCAGGAGTTTGAGCTCAAAGAAAAGATAAAGTTATTTCAGGTTGATTGTGAAAAGACTTAATTGGCTCTTTATTTTCCTGACAGGCATGATATTGTTTATGTGTTTCAGAATGGAGCAGAATGAGTGCGAGTGTCCATGTGAGTGTCCTCTAGAGGTCAATGAGTGCACAGGCAACCTCACCAATGCTGAAAACAGGTACGTGTAAGTTTTGCCATGGCGTCATTGAAGGACAGAGCTTTAGTGAATAATTCAAATCTAGAAAATGTCTCTCTGTCCTTCAAACATCGTCAGCTTTTCACAGTGTGTCACTCTGATCCTGTATGATCTGCAGCCGTCATGGTTTCCTGTCAGGTTGTGTGTGTAGTATTGCAGTATTGATGCACAGTTTTTGTCTGAGCTGATTAGTATATGTCCACGAGCTGTCGAAGTGCTGCGTCGGCTGACGTTGAACATCATCGTCTTTTCTTGTCTGTTATGCAATAAAACCACAGTTTTACTCCTCCTTCTCAATGTGTTGTGTTGTGTTGTGTTTCACAGGAATCCCAGTTGTGAGGTGCACCAGGAGCCCATCAGTCTGAATGTGATTGATCCCAGTCTGCACGACACTCTGCCCCAGTGTATTAACACTCGCTGCAGCCAGAGATACAGCAGCAGGTACACACACACATCCAACTTCACACACACATCCAACTTCACACACACACAGAAGATGATGAATTTGACTTCCTTTACAATCTCTACAAAACCATAACATTGGAAAATGTGAATCTGCCAGGTGAAGAAATGAATAACAGCTACAACGTTTAACTGTTGTGGAATAGTGCCATCTAGTGGTAGTAAAAGGGGAGCTGTCCTGTGTTTGTAGGCTCATGTTGAAACTACATTTCCCTCTGTGTTGTTTATAGATTTCATCATTGTTGACCAATTAATAACAGTTGAATCTAATGTATGTGATTATAATAATTCCAGCCACACAGACAAATAAATTATTTCTCTTTCATTTAATCTGACATTTGTCCATCCACAAAGAGCCTTCGGATGAAAACACGTTTCATTCATGAGACCTGGGCTTTTTTAACTTCAGCTCATGTTTGTTCTGCTCTGTGGCAGTGACTGTTTCGGGGTGTTGGACTGTGAGTGGTGCACGGTGGACAGCGATGGAAAGACTCATCTGGACAAACCCTACTGTGCCCTGCAGAAGGAGTGTTTTGGGGGCATTGTTGGAGCCAAGAGTCCGTATGCAGACGGTCTGGGACTGATGGGTGAGTGGGCAATTCATCAGGAGCCTGAAATCAGGAATAAGGTTTTTTTTTATTGTATGTGTCCATCCTTTAATCAACCCTTTTCCTTTGTCTTTTTATCTGTCTTGCAGATGAAGAAGTGGCTTCTCTGAACATGATAAAGAGCGCTCCTGTCGGTCCTGTCGCTGGAGGCATTATGGGATGTATCATGGTGTTGGTGCTGGCTGTGTACGCGTACAGACACCAGATCCACAGGCGCTCGCATCAGCACATGTCACCACTGGCAGCACAAGGTATGAATGACAGATGGATAAATACACAGTATTAAAATATGTCCTGGACAGTTGACACTGGAACTGGGTCTAGATCAGTGGTCCAAATTTCTGTTAACTACTAGAGTAGTAAAAGTAGTAAATAATTAGTTAAAAAAATATTTTTGGCAGTCAGTATTTTTTCAGTCAATTACTATACATTTCAAGTGACATCATTTTAAATTCTGAACTTAATCCTGAAACTTGGTCTAGATCAGTGGTCCAAATTTCTCAAATTTCATTTTAAATTCTGAACTTAATCCTGACATGGGAATACTATACATTTGTCTGTTTGTCTGTGAAACTACAAAGATGTCAAAGCAGCTGTAACGCCTGGATTTTTCATGTATGAGTAAAACCTACTGCTCTCTTTCTCTCTCTCTCTCTCTCCCTCTCCCCCTCCTTCTCTGTCTTCCTGCTCCCCTCACCTGTACATTGCTCCAGAAATGTCGGTGCGGATGTCTAACCTGGATAATGAGAGAGACGAGAGGGACGAGGACAGCCACGAGGACAGAGGAATCAGTGAGTTGTCCCTGATGAGCTCTGAGAGCTTCTGCTGAAGTGATCTTTTATTTCTCACATGGGTCTCGACCCTCATAAGCTGTAACGTAATGACGCTGCCTGTTTGTCAGAGCCCTTGTTTTGACCTCTGTGCTCTCTTCACTTACAGTCAGTAATACCAGATTTATAGCTGCTGTGATTGAGAGACACACACACACTCCTGAGAGGAGACGGAGATACTGGGGACGATCCGGGACAGAAAGTGACCACGGTAAGATCCTGGGATGAGCAATGACCCTGTCGGAATAATAAAAGTATTTATGTCTGCTGTTTTGTGGTGCTGTACACCTCCAACGATGTCCAAACAAATCTATATTTAATCTATGATTACATCAAAAACCTTCATCCCAGCCTTAATTAATGGCAACTCACAAACGATTTTTAAAGATTCACTATCAAAAACATTTTGTTTCCTGCCCCTCCCCCAAACATTTTAGGAACAGCTCTGCATTCTTTAAGGTGTTTTACTGCCACCTACTGAGGCTTTTCTAAGGTTTTGTACTCGTCAGTAAAAAGCAGAGGGAAACATCCAGGCGTGTGAATAAACCACTGTGGACTTTATTATAATGAATCATTTCTAATTAATGAATGGCAGAGAGAATAGATTTTCTGACCTTTTATTACAGCTCACCACAGTCTGAAGTACAAACAAAAAAAATGAATTCCGTTCACTGAGAGAACGTAGCTGTTCAACAGGACAGTATTCCACACAGCTCGACAACAGGAAGTAACTCTAAAGTTCAAATGACTCACTTTCTTTTGTTGGTTACAAAACCGATCTATTCCCTGAAAAAAGAGTGTGTGTCGTAAAATGAACAATAACAGAACCAGTGTTCAACAACACCTGGATGATCAGGTGGTGTTGACTGGGATGGGAAGTCTGGACCCTGAGGGACGGAGGAGTGGAGCTCAGCTAATCCAGGAGATCTGAGAGTCCAGCCGCTGCTCCTCTGTGTGAAAGGAGCTCAGTTAGTATTAATCAGAAAGTTTTCTAAAGTGTCACAAGTGGAGAGGAGGGGAAGGCAAGGTGGGGAGATTAGACTCACCCACCTTTAGTAGAGTTTAGAAAGCCTCTAATGCCCCTGTAGAAACCTGTAAGACGGTAGAACGGGTCTCAGTGATCTGTTCAAATGTAGGTCTCTTTAATGTTTGACTTTTTTTAATATAACAATGAAGAATTTGGCTGGTGAATAAAAAAGGCATCTCCATGACTAACACATGTGTGGATATTACTGAGGGGATGAAAGAATGACAACACGACAGGTGAATGATGTAAAAACAGACAGAATGATGAAATGACGTGTGAACCGAGTGAAATGAGGAAGGACATTGGAAAAATATATTCAAAAAGGGGCAACATTTTTAAATTGATGCAACTAAGTTTACACTAACCATCACCACCGTTCACACCTATCAAAAGTCACTGGAGCAGCCATACCTAAAACGTTACTAAAACCTGCTCTCTTCTTGATTGGCAGATGATTTTGAGGCGTTAAATGCAGATCGCTTTTTTTTTTCTCTAAAAATGGATGATTTTCTGCTGGCAGCTGCTCTGAGAGCAGACAAAGACGTGCTACTGCTGAGAAAACTCAAAGATTCACTTCTAATGAGAGTCTTTCTGTCAGTCCGTCTCTGTGTCTCCTGACATTGACTCTCTCGTCCTGCGCGGCTGCTGTTGAAGGTTGTCAACAGGACACAGTAAGCTGTCTGACCTGCTTCAACTCTTGGCTCATGCTTTGGGTCGGTGAGGGGGGGTGAGGGGGGGCAGGGATAAACTTTGCCAATTTGGCAACTGCCAAGTCTAAGACGTCTTTGAAGTCTCTGTCCTTTCCTTCAAACCCTCACTTCTCCGCCGTTCCTCTGGGGGTCTCCTGTCCTCTGTTTTTGACTTGTTATTTTTGGCTTACAGCTTTGTCCTTTGTCTTGTCTCCTCTGCTCTAAGCCAGACGAGTCTTTGGAGATCCTGTCTTAGTTCATCTGTAGGACAGGATCCTGTGTCTCTGAGGAGGGAGCAAACATCTGAGCAGAACAGTACGAGCCCTCTAGTGGTGAATGTACATGATCTGGTTTAATTTAATACATTTTTTTTTTTTTCAAAATTCTACTGAAAACACCAAACAGTTACTGTTAGAAAAGGAACATCAGGTTGAACCTCTCTCCGTTGTTCATAGTAAATCTATGTCTGAGGTAAAATTCTTGGCTGCCTGAGCCATGAGTCTCATTCACTAGTTCGTTCTTTATGAAAACTAAAATATATGCTACAGTCGCTGGATTGCAATCTCATGGAACGTCGCCCCCCCTTATGTTCCCTCTGTTACTTACTGATTCTTTGACCCAGTAATTTCCCGTGACAGCAGCTCCACTCTCCCACTGCGCCACCTACCCGTGTAGGCGATCCTAAAAGCCTTGTTGGCTCATGATGCCGCCTCCTCGGGCCAATCATATGTGAGGGAAAGTCACCATAAATATGTATGCTTTGTTTTGTTTCCCCCCAATTTGCAGTGTGAAAGCTGAGAACATATGGGAGTGAGCGTCTCCAACGAGGACGTTTAGTTGTCACCGCGCCATAAAAGAGCTGAAATTGCCTTTAGGAACAGCGTGTTGGGTTGTATTCACAAGACTCTGCGTTGAATTACACGGATCATTTTGTTAGGGGTTTTTCAGGCTCGTGTACCAGGATGTTGTTGTCTGCTGGAACGAGACATGCTCCAAACTCAAATGTTATAGCCTCAGGAAGAGAGATTTTAAACTGAGATTTTTATTTTATTTTTTATTTTTTTAAGCAGCATTGAAAATATTTCACTCATAAACAGCGCCACCTTGTTGAAGCTCAACTAAATCAACATATTTATTGCCAATGAATAAATAAGTAGTACCGTATTTTCTGGACTATGTTGCACCGCAGTATAAGTGGTGCCCTAGTGCCCTCTAGGGGCTGTCAGTGTGAAAATAACAAACATGTGAAATTATATATTTTAATATATAAGTCGCACCTGAGCATAAGTCGCAAACTGAGCTAAAGGATGAAAGAAAGTCTGACTTACAGTTTGGAAAATACGGAGTTCCTCACGTTGCACTGGTCCGACTGGTCCAGAACCCTGGAGATGTTACGACCTGCTGAGTTGAGAACCCTGGAGATGTTACGACCTGCTGACCCCTCAGTGTGTCTTTGCTAAAACTGTCAAAGAAATTAAACACCTTCACTTTCTCTAACACCAAATTCTTCCTCTTCCTGTGTTCGTGTCCAGGCTACAGTACCATGAGTCCACAGGAGGACAGCGAAAATCCGCCCGGAAACAATGATCCGCTGTCTGCCGGCGTTGATGTCGGTAACCACGATGACGACCTGGACCTGGACACACCGCCGCAAACGGCTGCTTTGCTCAGTCACAAGTTCCACCCTTATCGTCACACGCACACGCACCACCACCCGCTACACACGCACCACCTGCAGGCTGCGGTCACCGTGCACAGCGTGGACGCCGAGTGCTAATCCACGGTCTGTGCGCCCAGGAAATAAACTGTTTTAAGTAAAAAAATATATATATATTTTTAATAATGAAATAAAAAGAAAAAACCTTAGGGCCTGTTTACACAGTGGGAACTGTAAGGTAGGGCGGAGTCAGAGGGTGCTGCAGCTGGACTCACCTGTGGAGCCACAGAGCCAACAGCAGCCCGACTTCACCTTATCCTCAGTCAGCCCTCTCCACATCTGGGCTGTGGGATGAATGCAGTAGGACAAAGGTCGACGAGACTATTTTTCTAACAAAGCTAAGCTGTGTGGGAAACAGACATTTTTTAAACTCAAACTTCACTGTTTGAACCTGGAACCTCAAAGCGGAAAACATGGAAAACCAGAGCACATACAGTCTGTACGACCAGTGGACAATCAGATAAATCTGGTCATCTGTAGTCCGAGGACCCTGGACATCCTCAGACTGGACCCTCCTTACATCTGTGAAAACTGCTTGGAAAAGTAACATGATCATCTTCGCCTTCTGTGATTTTACCGTGGATTTTATCGTAGTTTTAACCTCCGGTGATATGTACCAGGTCCAACAGTAGTAGTATTGTCATGCATCTACAGAATCAAACAGCTAAAATACAAAAATGTTGAGTTTCTTCTATTTATTTAAAAGCTTTAGATTGAAGGGATAAAAAAAAGTAAAGAACACAAACAGCTGCCACTAAAACAGTCAGTCGTCAGAAAAATAAAAGAAATCTTAGCTTTATATATTCGGTATCGTCTCAGACAAACTAAGAAAATCCAGTGGCTCCTCTTGCCTTGGTTGCAATGATGCCACCTACTGGCGTTATTCCTTTTGTCTGTATTTCCCACAGGAAATTTCTGGATCAGGTTAAGACAAAAGGAAATCTGACATATTCTGAATCTGTTGGCGTCTCAGCTGATCTACTGTCATCACTTCCTGTGAACAAATCAACTGTTAATGATCGTGATGTTTTCATACCTGCATAGAAACCAGTAAAAAAAAAACAACAAGGTGACTGTTTTAGTTTACTGGTGAAAGAGTGAACCTGAACCCAGACGACAGCCCTGGCTTTGACACTGCTGAGGATTCAGTGGGAGAGAAAATCAGAGACGGTTCTGTCCTGGGTTGGAAAACCAGTACAGATGGAGTATTTTTATTTTATTTTTCCACCTTATTATATCGTATCAAAAATGTCGTGCGTTGGTTCAGTTTTCATTGCTGTCCACAATGGAGTCTCCTTTTGTCAAAAAAAAAAGATTGTAAAGAAGGAGACATGCTGCTGTCACTGTACAGAGGTCACAGCCATCTGTCCACTCCTCTGTGGTTAACCACTCGACATGTCTGGTCTACACATCTCTGCTTCAGTGTGTGCGTGTGCGTGCGTCTGTGTTTGTGAGAAAGAATGGTTTTGGAACACTTGGACATGTTCTTGTATTTTTCTCATGATCGTATTAGAGAATTATAGCTGAAATTATTCTAAAGGAAGGAAATCCACTTATTTTAATGCTGATGAAGAGTCACTTCATCGCTCCGCTCCGTCATGGCGGCCTCTAGCCACCTGTTGGTGCCAAACCGTGCTTTGTTTCAACAGATTTTCATTATGACGTGTAAATACAGAATCATAAATAGATATTTTTGTCCCGTACACTCCATGCTTTTGTCGGTCAGATATACGACGTACGCTTCAAGTGATGCTCAGAGCAGTCAGTTGAAATGTCCGTTCATGGCGTCTCGCTATATATATTTTTTTGGACGCCTTGGACGTTTTATGTTAGATTTATTTTTCTCTAGGTCCATATTGGATGAATGTCAGTACTTGGAAAAATGAATACACACTTTTTGTATTTGAGATTTTGTTTATGTCGTTTTAAAGGGTTTTGTCATGTGGCTTCAAAATGTTAGAGGGCGTGTTTCTTCACGTATGGATTTTTAAGATGTCGGTACAGTTCTTGTTCAACTTTATGGCTGAATCATCAAACACCACTAAAGTATCTAACAGATAAAAAAAACCCAACTAATCTAATATAACGATGCAGTTCTCAAATGTTCTAAGGTACTTTTCACTCCTCTTGGACACTGATGCCTCAGCCGATGTGTTCCTGGGAGGAGGTTTTATTTCCCACAGTGGTTTATTTTCATAGAAGCCTCACAACAGTATTTACAGCCATTGTAGACTATTATATTTTGTATACGTGCGTGTGTGTATCTGTGTGTGTGTATGTGTGTGTGTGTATGGGTGAACTAATTTGTACAGGACACACTATGAATTGCATTCATGTACTGAAGGAACATGTGTACGTCAGCCGCTCATGTATCATATAAAGTTATCGAATGGAGATTTATTGCAATGTGAATGTGATAAAGTTGATTTTACACTAAAACAGACACAAGGTTTTGGTTATTGCTGCTCACTGCTGGTTCACTGCTGCCTCTGTAGTCAGTGTTGACCTCATTTATAGTGTAATTTAAATGCAAACAATGTTTGTGGACAGTCTGAAGCAGGCTAAAAAAAGGTTTAACAAAGTTGGAAGCTAGCAGGAATAATTAATAGCATAATGGATGTTTTAAAGAAGCTAAAAAATGAACTAATTCAGATGAGATTAGCAAAAAAATCTGAAAACAAAATGTAATTGGGTAGAAAAATGAATTAGCCAAAATGAATCATATTGAAAAGCTAGAGTATGGTTAGCTATTAACTATTTTTACTATTTAACTTAAAACTCAAAATGCATGTAATTAAGGGAATAAATAAAAGTTCACCATAAACATTTTGAAACATTAATTAAAATGCATGTAATTAAGGCAATAACTAAAAGTTCACCATAAACATTTTGAAACACACTTGTAAGTCAGAACAGAAGTTTTTGGAATAAATTTCAAATTGATGATAATTTGGCTCAGAAAAAAGATTATAATAAAATTAGCTCCATGATGTCCTGGACAAGTACGAGCAAAAATTGCAAGGAGCTAAAATAAATGACAGAAATTGATGAAAATATCCAAAAGATAACTCGCAGTCTGCCAAGACATGTTTCCAACTTGGCCAAGGGATGTGCAAAAATGAAGATGCAAAACCTCTAACAGTAAACTGAAGAGCTATATCTCAAACAAAAACAGCCAAAAAGAAATCAAACGTTAGATTTTTTTCTTTAAAACCCTTCACTTAGAATATTACTCTTTTTTATCTGAGGATTTCAAAGATGTCAGACAAAGATGTCAGGCTGGAGGGAAACTAGAATGACTGCAGTGTCATGGACGTAAAGATGGAAGAAGATGAGTCACTGAGGTGACGACGAAGCTCAAGGTAGAAAGAGAGCAGATTTAAACCCGTCAATACAAAATAGCTGCAAGAGACTGAAGAACTTCAGGTCAAGTTTCTGCTTCTGTAACTCACTCTACAGAAAAAGAATCCAATGCTGTTCTGTTGTTGGTCCGACTGCCTGCAGTCAGAGGAGAGTTCAGCTCCACACCCTGCAGGAAGATGATGAGATCATCTACCAGGGATTTAGTGTGTGTGTGTGTGTGTGTGTGTTGTTATGATACTTCAGGTTTTGTCCATATCTGAGTGAGACTGTTTTGTCTTCTGCAGGCTGTTTTCTCTTTCCTGTTTTGTCTCCATTTGGTTTGATCAGTGAAGGACGATTATGCAGGAAGCATGAGTGTGTGTGTGTGTGTCAGTGTGTGGTCCTTCACTGGACTGGAACATACAGTGATTAAGGTAGAAAATGGATCAATTCATAAAACAAAAATTGCTTGGAATTTAAAATTTGAACGTTCACAGGAGGCAGAGAGAGTGTGTATTTTTATTATTATTTGTATTTACGCTATACAACAAAACTCACAGAACTTAGATGGGAGGCATTTCCCACAAATGACTTTTTTGCAGGTCTGACCAGAATAAAAGATAACAATCTGGATTCAAACCAGTCCGAGACGATGATTCTATTACAACAAACAACACAGCTACAACATGCATTATTAAATAAAGCTCCTCTCCACTTCACCGAAATATTATATTTATATAATTCATCAGCGCTGCAGTATTCAGCCACTCTGATGAGACACAAGTGTGTTTTTGTTTTTTCATGACTGAAGGACAATCGTCATGAATCCTTTTTTACTGTCGACCTTTACTCCGGTAACGATGTCTGAGTGTGAGGACACTCGCTGTGGGTTTGAACGTGATGTTTGGTCATAGGTCGTGCACTCTGTGGGAATAGGAAGAATAACGGCTGCATGGGAGACCGATCAGTTATTTATGAGGCTTTTCAGCACACGTGGTGTTTCCTGGCAGGGGATGTGGGAGACGAGCACAGATGGAGAGGCAGCATGGTTCTGTAGCCGTGCAGTGGGAGGAGGGAAAAATGGCAGTGTGCTTTAGTTTCAGTGTGAACCTGAACTGCTACAGCTCCAGAGACTGTCCAGTGATTTTTTTTTCCTCTGCCCAAGATGACCACATTTTGGGGGGATTGGAACAAACACAAAAAATGATTCTGTTTTTTTTTTAATGATAACGACACCAACTTTAATTCAAGAATTCTAATAAGAATTAAAGGCAGATTTAAATTTGTAAAGATGCAACATTTTCTGTAGCTGTAACCAAAAGTAGGGGGCGAGCCCTTGGAGGGACATATTGCAGGGAGTTGAGACCAAATAATATTTAAGTTTTTTTTTTTTTTTACTATTTTTTTGTTCCACACTGGGAATTTAATTTTGTTACAAAACAAAAATGATTGAACCAAAACACACCCACATATATATAAAAGAAAAAGCTAAATTCAGTGGTTGTTGCATTAAAATTATATAACATTTCCATGTTACACATGTTATACAATGGAAAAACACACATGCATGTGTGTGTGTGTGTGTGATTGTGAGTCAGCTCGTTTGAGCTAAAATTAACCAGTAACCAGGGAAAGAAAAACTCATTGTGGACCTGGAATTGAATTCATGTTCAAATGATCACATAATGTTGATGTTATGTCATGTAATGTATTGTGACTCATCACAACGTTGCTGTGACTCAGTTGATGTTGTGTTACATCGAGTCCATCGACAGTATCTAAGAAGCTGCAAGGTCAACCAAGTCTCCGTTCCTCTGCTGGTTCCTGTGAGCTCTCGTTCTTATTTTAATGTATCATCCAAACAGAACAGCGCCTCCTATTTCAGGAGGAGGTCACAGGGAGCAGCTCAGAATTGTCACTGCTCCAGGTAGAAAGTTAAAAGAAGAGAGGGACACGCTGGGGCTCCGAGTGTACTGAACACCAGCAGGGAAGTAGACCAGCCCTGTTCCCCCCCCCCCCACCTCCCCTCACCCTCCTCCTCCTCCTCCTCCCCTCAGGTGCCTCTCACTGGTGGCTGTTTGCTGTGTCCCATAAACCTTAGCAGTTTGTTTTTTATCCATTCATGCCTTTCCTTACGTGACCCCGCCTCCCACTGTCTCTGCGTCTCCTGCTCCTCTCCTCTCCCGTCTCTGTCTCTGTCTCTGACTCTGTCTGCTGCTCTCTGCTTTATGGATTAGAGCGTTGAGCTGCGTGTCGAAGCAAACTCAGGTCATTTTCGGTCGATCCCTGCTCCGCCAACTGCTGTAGACACGCAGCACATTAGCAGCGGTCCAGAGTCCTAGTTTCCTCAATCTGAGTCACGTTAAATCGTGCATGAAAACAATTTTCACGGCTTTGAAATGACTTTGACGGGAAACACTTTCCAACTTGTGCATTTAACTGAAATGTATTTGTAATACACGGCAATTTAAATTTAAACAGGCAGAAAAATAAAAAAATTCAGAAAACGTGGGATGTATATTTATGTAACTGCTGTTATTTATTTATCTTTCTGCTGGAAAATCTACAGAATTCTTTTTGTCACATTTAGGAATGTTGATTTACCTCAATTAATTGTGATTAATCGGTTTAAAAATATTTGCCTGTCTTAGCCTGTGGAGATTTTTATTGTTATGGTGAGTTTTATTTTAAATATCATTTTTGTATCACTTTATTTTGCTGTGTTGAATTGGTGAAAATATAAACTTACATGAAAAGGTCAGTGACCTATGCTCTACGAGTCCTCGTTACCTCAAGTTTTTTTAGGTGACTGTCTGTATTCATGTCAGCTGAAAAGCTGATAGAAAGTTCTTATAGTTATGACTTGGTATTTTCAGTAATCTGTCAGCAGTGGAAATGAAAATGAGGTCATATGTATATTTTTCTCTCAGATTACAGAAGGTTCCCAAAGTGTCTTTGGCGCATGTATTGCAATTTTATGAAATGAAAATATTTAAATACACAGTAAAATGGTCGCCTCGAGGCCTGACACTGAAAAGAACTGAATGAGCCGAAAAATAATCCTGGATTTGTAACTCCTTCCTGAAGACTGGAGAACGAGTCTGGAGGACTAGGTTTGTGGATTCAAAACACACCAGACTCTTTCAGGGTACAAACAAAAAGGCACCCCACATCTAAGCTATTATGTTTATGGTCTGTGTTACTGTGTGCTGTTGTTACTGACTCACAGGCTGGTGAGCTGCTTCACTGCTGAGGAGTTCCGCTTATGATCACAGTAATTAGGGCATAATTTGGGCTGGGACCTGTGGTATACGTATGTTGTCCCAGTGGTTTCAGGTCGGCCTTCTTTAATAGGTCACGTCCCTTTTACCTCTTGTTTGGTACCACAGTACATGAACCACAGTCCGATTCTCCTCCTGTATGGCAGCGTGCAGCGTGTCAGCAGGCTCATAAAGGCACAGCTCCCAGCACATATTTTACATTTCCTGCCGCTCCGCTGACAGGAGGGCAGCGTGAGTGAGAAGTGCTCATGTTCTCACTATCAACTCCCATGCACAATGAACCTCTTTGCCGTCTCAGGTTCAGAGTTTCTCCATCACTCATCCTCTCCTCACTCCTACTGAGCTCATCCCAGGTGCCTACTCTGCCCGCTCAGGCACTAAGCCCACCTACGCCCTCACACTTTTAGTCCCGGTGAGCAGCGCTGAACATTTTCCTGCTTTCTTCTCTTCCCTTTTCTACTCCCACCCACTTTCAGACGGCTGTGAATCACTGGCTGACAAACTGAGGCAGCAGCAGCTCTCTGGTGTTTTAAACGGACTGAGAATTGCAGCTCTTTTCCCTTTTGCTTTGTGAAGCACGGCTTATTGTTATGGGCCCTGATTTGCATCTAGGTAAATTGCTCCTGTGTATCAGAGTGACATGAGTGTGCAGGCGCCCAAGTGTGTCCTTAAGTGTGGCACGGTGCTGGTACTCTCATGTGCCAGGGGAACTGATAGAACAAATTAATTGTTCTCTCACAAAAAGGTTGTTTAGCACTTAGCCGAGTGATTCACGCATCTCTGAAAATCAGCCTGTGAAAGTGACAGGCGAGTCCTGACT